ATATATATATATATATACACACACACACACACACATCAGACGAATTTGTTGACACGCCTGGAAATTAGATCAAGCCAAAAATGCTGCAGGGTTTGGAGCCGCCTGCGCGGTGCAATCGCCAAAAAAGACCAAAAGAAAAAGCAAGCAAGCAAAAAAGAAAGAGATAAAAAGGAGGGTGTGCTCCTATCTGTGCCTTAGATCAAGTAATTGAAAATTGGTCACATCTTGGTAAACTGTATAATAATCTAGGGGAATATGGCTCAGCTACTCCAGGCTGTGCTAAGCAGACATCTGCAGCTAGCAGACACAAAGCTGGAAAGGGCTGCGGTGCCTGAGCGTTGCCTAAATGTAGCCAGGAATACATCCTCCCTGGATGTGTGCATTTCAGATATATAGCCAGAAATATATCCTTCCTAGCCTGCAGAGTGCTGCGATCTAGGCAACTGCATACTAATCTGAGAGCATAAACTGGAAGCCTCCTTCTCTGAGCCGCACATACATATACATAGATACCTATAAAAATTCCAAGACAGCGGATTATTGTGTATAAACTGATTAGTGAGAGACTTTCTCGGGAAACCACCGGCAGTGAAATGTAGTGGATTTGCCTTTATGGCTCAAATACCCACATTGTTTCATATATTAATAATAAATATTTAAAAAAACATAAGGATCACAGGCGAGCAGGGAGCTAGCAGTGCGGTTTAATATAGATCAAAGCCAGACTTTGCTAATATATAGATCTGTATATGAATGAATGCATGTTAATGGCCCCAAAAGGACGTTACAAAATTGTGAATGTAAAATTATGACCCTGGAAAGACACAACAAATTATTCAAAGCAGAAATCTGTGGCGACTGCATTTTTGAAGTTTATGTCTTTCTATTTCAAGAACTGGGTTTACAAAGATATTTGAACACCTTCATCTACAATGCGATGGCCTCGAGCAAAAAGACAAATAAAACAAGCTATAATTCAGAAACTTCTGAGGGGAAAAAAAAAGCCTTTGACCTGAGCTGCGGACTAGGCATCCCTCAGATATACAATTACCCTAGCCAGACTGTTTTGCTAATCCATACTGTACCTTTAATGCAGTGATATTTTGCAACATCTAAAGCACCAGGTTGGAATATAGATACCTATCAAAAGCACGGGCCTGTTCTTGTTTGCAACATATATCAAAACCACAGGCCTGTTCATATGTTGATTGCCACAAATCACACTCCATATTTACATATATCTTGCTATTTTACATGCATTATCTGCCCATTATGCACTGGGATCCTATTCAACTTCCAAACAATGCAATATGAAAGGGTCCTAGTGACACCCTGGCGGAATTTTTTAGGCTCCCTATGTCATACCCCTAAGGTTAGTAAAACATTTATCAGATATTTCCGTGAAGTGCCCTACACTGCGAGGTCCCTGGACCATCAAGGGAAGGAAGTTACCAGATAGAAAGAGGAGAAAAGGGGAAGAATACGGCTTGGGGTTTGCAATAGACATAGAAACACTCCTGATTTTCTAATGCAGTTAATATTTCCTGCCGCTTAATTATGGGAACTGCCCCTGGCATCTGGGTTCCTCTGGATTTTCTGAAAGCCCCCCTTCCTG